GCGAAGTGAAACATGAGTATTTTCACTTGCTCCACATACAGTTCATTGTTAAGGTACTTGACCGTACTTAAAAGGTAAACAATAGCAAGTCAAATTTCTTTCTTTCTGTTTTCGATATGTCAAATATCATAAATGGGAGAAATGCAATGTGTTTAAAATTGATGACGATGCTAAATTCTGATTGGTCAATAGATAAGTAAATGCATTTGTAACATGAACAAAAAGCAGAACACCATGTTACATAAGGCATTTTGGACATATGAATGAAATGCAAGATGTGTCAGATAATTTCTAGATAATTTGTAAATTAGTATATATGTAAGTTGGAAAATTTATAATAAAAACTCAGATTCAGTTTTATACTTGAACTTGCTTGCCTTGTTATTTTACTGAACTCAAAAAAGGGCATTAATTGCTCGTCTGCCGAGTTTTGAGCCTCGCTTTACAAACCAAGGCTCCTATTGCATTAGTCGCGCTTTCATGCTAATGCAATAGCTATGCAAACGCTAAAACCACCACCTTACATATTATAACATCTATCGTATATGTAAGTGTACATACGCACAAGAATGCAGAGCGCCGCTCTGAGAGCGGTGACAACACACACATCCACATACATGTTTATCCGTACAAATCGCGTGCTGTGGTGTTGATGGATATTCAACATTTGAAAGCAAATTTATATGCCTTGGTGTAGCTGAGTGCGCAAAGATGCTTGCCACAAGTTGTTGATATCCGGAGATGGTCGGGTTCGAATTCCGCTGCAGGCAACATGCAAATGGATTTTTTTTTTTCAGTTTTGGTCTTGATTATTCACTTCACGGATGCTTTTTCAGTACGAACGCGGTCATTTTAATATGCGCGTAATTGAATTGAATACTTACCAATATACAATACTTTCGTTGACGTTTATAGTAAGATCAATTACGTTTCTATTTGATTATAATATTTTTTTCCCGCAGTGTAGGACAGGTATATTAATGTTAAACTCAGTGCTGGCAGTCTTTCATTATACAATTTGAGGTTGTATTGTGATTGATCAGACTGTTCCGCGGTCGGCTGGGGAATTGATGAAACTAAGTTTTTCTGAAAGCCTGGATTGTATATGGAAATTTATTTCTTAGTTTTCCCCGCCTTGTGATTTTAAGCGTTTTTTTTAATACAATTTGGTGGTCGCAGAGCCTTAATCAAATCAATTAAAAGTGCTTAAAATTCAAATATTTATACCATTAAAAGACCTTTATGGAAAGTCGGGCGCGAGAAATCTGAATCTGATGTTTATTTTTTACCAAAAAGCATTATTTTTACCAAAAACGCGGCTGCTGCGCTCACTTTGGTGCAAATAAACATGAAGAAACATTGTTTAAAAATATTGCTGAGAAGCATTGTTTCCACTTTTCCTTCATGTTCCTTCCATATTTTTTTTTACATTAAAACCCACCATAGTGGCCCTTTTTGCTAAAAATAAGTTGCGAATTCCGATTCTTCGGGCCCCAAGACCCACAAAAGGCTTAGCAAAGATTCGCCCAAAATTGTGATGGGCGATTGATCGGCCAGGCGGACACGATTATAATATTCGCCTAATAATGTAATGGAATTGTAGAGGCGTTCTTTATCATGAATGCGGTAGGTATCGGCATTAAGATAGTTTGCTTCGAGCACCTTCAACATGGCACTACGTATTTTGATATCTTTCATTGCCAGTTGGTCAAAGTTGTGCGAAGAGAAGAGCATCGCAAATTTCAATGCCATATCACCATCGCCGAGAGCTTTGTCATTGATATAGTCCATACATTCACTATAAATAAAATATTAAACAAAATAAAATAATTTGTAAATACTTAATAAATGTACATATCGTCGATGTTTTTGCAAAACCGCCTATCTTACGGCACTCAAATTTTACAGGATAGCGAAAAAACGGTTTATTCTTTGTAGGCAAAGCTGTTGGTTTAATAACGGTTTTATAATTTTTGTACATAAATCTCGATGCCTGGAGTTCAGGGTTACCAAATCTCATTTTTGCCTCAACGGCGATTTAGGCGGTTTTGCAACTGGTCGATGGGCGGTTTTGCAAAAACATCGACGATATATTTATATATGTCTGTAAGCTGGCAAGGTTAGATTAAGGACGACCGCCTATACCAAGAGGTAGACCCGGGAACAACAAATTTTATTTAGATAAAAGAAATATGGACTTCTAATCAACCAAGTAAACGTTTAACAAAATTTTGTTTATAATTTTGAATTGTGTGAGGTCAACGCACTGACGTGCTCTTCTGCAAAATTACTCATAATCAATTGAAAAAACAACATTCATAACGAAGAATATACTAATCAGTAGACATGTGGTCTCAGACGTGTGTACATGTATGTATGTATATTGGTATATGCATGCATAAACAAGCAATTAAATAAATAATTTTGTATCTTGAACTTCAATTGCGGGCCGTAGTAACCAACACATATCCGTTTGAGCTGCTAACCGTTAAAAGCTCACAGTACATCAAATATAGACGCACATACATACATATGTATATATTATGCAAGGTCAAGCGGAACATCTGGTTATTTTTTATTAAGTTCACTGACAGGTGACATAAAACTGAAATGGACTTTTAAATTGTATGGTGTTGCTTACACACATCATACATATACAGTATACACTTATTTTAGATAATATTTAAAACATACTAAAATATTGTATATACATCATTAAGTAACCACTACTTGACAACAGGTTTCTAATTAGGTTCAGTGACTTAAATGAATTTATAACAATGGTCGATCACAAATGTGCAACTATTGCTTATACTTAAACCATCACATTTTAAAGCTGAGACACTGTGACAAAACAGCGTGCTTGAACGTTCTTCGCTAAAGCTTAGCTTGAAAGCATTCCGTCGATAAAATCGGATTAGTCACACTAGTGCTAAAGAATGGAAGTTGGTCTTCAAAATGAAAACAAAAATAATACTAATGCTCGCTGTGGCGGCTCGGCAAATGCAGATATGTACATATGTATTTATGTACATATACAAATACTCGTTCAAACATACGTACACATATTTTTATATGTACATACATATTTGCTAATACGCGATCATGTCGAAGACACTTACGGCTTACGTACTACGCCGCCTATGCCCACATTGTCCCCTAAATTGCTACTTACCATAACATGTTTTCGTCGTGTACCAGCGCGCAAAAGTCCGATCGAATAGCCTTCATCTTATGATTCATTCTAATACCATCGTCCTGCATATCAAGACCTCGTATCATCTCGACAAGATGATCATAGGAGCAGGCGCCTGGTGGCAAATTAAGCGCCGTGTTCAGGGTAGTTGGCTGCAGGAAATTGCAAACGTCGCTCAAGTTGCTCACTGCAACCCCAGTACCGGCGCCATCAACGTTCCCAGCATTCATGTTGCCACCAACGCCATTCCTTTTATAATGGCCTGGCGCATTGTTATTGGCCATTGTCGCTGGCAAATTTTGTTTTATTGCCCTGTTAATACAATGTGTGCTATATGTGAATGTATATGCTCTCGCCGAGTTAGTTGATTTGTGTACTGAAATATAAAACGATGCCTGATATTTTTCACGGGCACACTTCCTACAGCAGATCGTCCGGAGTTTTGCACAATTTCTGATTATTATATTTGGTTAGCAAATAAAGCGGTCAACTCTAATATAAATGGCCGAAAGCGATAAAATGCGAAT